TGGGAGCCCACTATAGACTATTGATTGATTGACATCTAAAAAAGATTTATTTTTTTTTTAAAAAAAAAATTCAGCTGAAAATGACCTATGTTTCTCTTGCTTTCAATTCATATACATAATTTAATATACTCCGCCGAATTATACAATTTATAATTATAAATTGAAAAAATAGCGAGTTTGGTCCCTGAGTTATAACTATAGTGACGACTTAGTCTATGTGTTATTGTCGTATTAATTTTTAGTCCATTGATTATGAGTGAAGTGGCGAGTCTGGTCCCCGACGTTAGTGGTGCGTTGACAGAGTTAATTCCAGGAGTAAAAGAAGTAAATTCCTTAATAAAACTTGTATGCAATATAACATGTTTCTCTCGTTTCCACCTTTTATAGACTTAGCCAAAATACTTCCCCCAAATCGACAACAGCTCTAAATTACTTATGAAATCAGCGAAGAAATCCTACTATGCGGCTGGTTTGGAGAAGAAATCCTCCAATGTCTTCAAGAATGTTGTTGTGCACAAATTGATCTCCCACTTGTAAGTGTTGTAGTGAAATCAGTGTTAGTATATTTCGATAGATATGCGAATAGGGTCACGATTTTGCCAACGGTTGATAGAGGAGGTCAAGAAGTCGTTGGTGGTTCCATTGGGCTTGGAGATAACAATGGAGTGGCCACCGTCGATAAGGAGGGGATTGTTGGGGCCACCAACTCGATTGGGTCGTTATCTCCGGACTCGTTGGTGAAAGTTCTCCACTTGTAGATCTCATTGACAGAGTAGACTCGAGAACGAAGAGATTGGAATACCGAGAAAACAACATGTCATTCCCAACTCCCCTCCCTCCCTCACCCTTTTCCAAATGGATAAACCAGTGCATTACTACTCTCCACTCTTCCCTTCTCTTCTACAAATTACAAATACATATCTATAGTTGAAGAATTTGAGATTTCAGAGCTTGGGGAAGAAGACGACCTTCGATTGTAGGTATAATAAGAAAAAATCGATTGTTACGCAATGAGTTTCAACATAAGAAGGGGATTATATGCAATTTAAGCTTTAAACTTAAGCACCAAAACTATAAACTTACACACCTTAAACTATAAACTTAAACACAGCTTTAACTTACACGTTTTAAACTTTGAACTTATGCAAAATAATCATAATGTCATTGTATTTTTTTTTTAAAGTTTTATTCATTCTGAGCTGCTGATTTTAACTAGATCAATGACTGAATTTCACCCCAATTTATATATATATATATATATATATATATATATATATATATATATAAAGTTCAAATGCGTCTGGGTCTTCCCGTGCGGCGGTGCGGCGGAATTCCAGAATACACCAACAGTGTTAACAATATGCACCAACAGTGTTAGAAAAATACACTACAATGAAATGTAATAAAACATCACAGAATACACAACAGACTTAAAAAAAATACACCATATAACTCACCACCCCCCAAAGGTGTATTTCTGAACAGTGTATGGTGTTTTTACTCACACCTAATGGTGTGTGTTTGGTGATGCAGGGCTCTGTTTACTCTGTTTTTTTGTGGTGTATTTTCCTAACGTTGATGGTGCATATTTGTTGAACTATTAGTATTGCCGCACCGTAAGAAATCGTCGTACCGTAAGACACTGCTACACCTGAACTCGCCTCTATATATATATATATATATATATATATATATATATATATATAAAGAATGGCCAAATATGGGAAAAGCTAGAAAAGTAAGAAGAAAAGAGTGATAAAGAAAATGGGACACTACTACTTTCACTGTGGAATCTAAACTGATTGTGATTGGGGTGTCTCTTTAGTAGACATGCATCATGAGGTTTGTATCATGCAGTGTTTCACCATCTACAACACCTAGGGTCCCCCCCACCCCCTTCCTCCGGCGCCGCTCCTCTCTCCTAAATTGTTTTTTTTTTTCTACTCTACCATCATCTTTCTTTACGTACTCTTCTATCTCTAGGTGCTACTTAGCCTTTCTATACCTTGGATTTTTCTCATGTCTTTAGATCCCTACAAGAGAATTTTTATTTATTTGCCTAAATTTCTCTAGCTTCAATTTAACTCTGCCCTCTTATTTAATTTATGCACAATCATTATTTGAGAATATATAGACCTTATAAATATAATTTTATCGCAAAACAAACATAAAGAGTTTAATCAGTCAGTGAAAAAAAGACCTAAAATGACACTTTAATAATCTTAATTGATAATAGTCTTTTTCGGGAGTGCCTTTTAATATTATATTTCAATGTATCAACAAATTTAATAATCAACTTTGGCATCTTGTTTAATTCATAATTCATTTTACTGTTTTTTTCTAACCTTAATTTTGTAGTAAAAATATATTAACACTTTTAAATTCAATTCTTTTGAATGAGAGAAGTGGTACAATCTTTTATATGTGTTCATAAGTTGGTTCCTTTTGAATTAGAGAAGATGTAAATATGTCATGAATTAACAAAATGAAATAGCAAAGCATTTTCAAAAGGTTATTTCAAAGCAATCCTTATATCATGGACCCTACACAGTGCACTGTGGAGCTAGTACATATGAGTTTTTATGTCTTGTGCTATGAAATTCTGTAAATATGAATTATGTACTTGAAATAAATTAGTAATGGTGTCTTATTTTATGAATTTATGCATTTGGGTCTTATTTTATGAATTTATGCATTTTGTGTTGTGAAATTCTGTGCTTATGAACACAAATTATGTACATAAATTAGATTTGAAAATAAGTAAATATATAATATGTATATGTGTCTTGTGTTGTATTTTTTTTTTTTTTTTTGTTATGAGATTTTGTACCTTGTCATTTTAATTCAGGATCCATAATACTATATGGACCTGGTCCATGATACAAATTGCCATTTCAAAGATTGATTTAATGATTGTAATTGGTGTTTAGGGTTTAAAAACTTCTTTGGGCCTAGTTAACCCAAAACTATTGTGTTTATATTTTGCATTATGTTAAAATAAATCTTAAGATTCATAGAACATGACCCACAATTACAAATAGATTGGGCTGGATTTGTCTTTTACAATTATAGCCCACCTATTATAGATGGACCTCTGAACCTCTATTTCTGGGCAAATTATGATGTGCATCCGTGTGCACCATGCATGGTGCACATGAATGTAAAAACGGCGTCGTTTTACTTAAATAAAAAAATTATTTTTGATTGTCGTTAGTTACGTAAACATATGTTCAAAATGTTATAATTTCACATTCTGAATGTATAGTTATGAAGTTATAGATGTATAGTTATGCAATTCTGAATGTATAGTTATGAAGTTACGGATGTGTAGTACGTTATGCAATTCTGGATTTATAGTTATGAAGTTACGGATGTGTAGTTATGCAATTCTGGATGTATAGTTATGAAGTTATGGATGTGCAATTATGCAATTCTGGATTTATAGTTATGAAGTTATGGATGTGTGGTTATGCAATTCTAGATGTATAGTTATGAAGTTATGGATGTGCAGTTATGCAATTCTGGATTTATAGTTATGAAGTTATGGATGTGTAGCTATGCAATTCTCTTTTTTTTTTTTTTTTTTTTTAAAGTCATACGTCAAAACGACGTCGTTTTTGCAACCGTGTGCACCCTGCACGACATAATGCTCCCTATTTCTATAACTAGATCACTAGATCAGTACCAAGAAAGGAAAGATCGGTTAAAGGATCGATCTTTCAACTAGAAATCACAATTTCAATCTGCCTGACAAAAAATCTCATCAAACATATTGAAGTAAATTTGATAGGATATACTGATAGGATATATTCGTATATTTTCTTTTAATATATAATATAGTATACTTAATATTATTTTATATTTCTAATTTTTAATAATTAACTAAATGGATTGTTTTGCTTGTATATTATATTTTGTAAATTGGTTTTTATATACCCACTACACCAAAAATAAATAGATGTCAGGTGGGAAAACAAGTAAATATTGGAGAGACTTCCAAGTCAACACTAGGAAACAAGTATATATAAACAAAAACAATGTGTTGTGTACTCTTATATTAGCCAAGATACAGGTAGTACTGTTGTAAAAAAAAAGTTTAATAAGATGTACATTTTTCAAAATCTTTAAAATTCATATTTCAATTTATTTTTATAATAATAAAATAATTTCTTAAATATAACTTTTATAAGCTATTAAAAGAATAATTTTATTAACTAATAAAAATTATTATAACTTATATAACATTTTTATAGTTTCTAAATTAATATAATTTATCCTTAAACTACACATATGTAACATGTCTATATATAATTTTCCATCTCATTAGTAAATGGACAAGATTCACTTAATACAGTGTAATAGATTTGATTTTACAAAATATTTTAATAGTGTTTATAATGGTCTTGAATGTTCCACACCAATAAAACCTTTTAAAATATTCCCCGCTCAATAAAATCCTACAAGACATACATACTTATTGTTTAACTGTTTGTTTTTCCTAATTATTTTTGCACTAAAATACTTATTTTCTTGCATTTTAAATGATCAATTGTCTAAAATTTATTTAAAATTATTTTACTATATACTTTGAAAACATTTTCAGGTCACCTCATGATGAAAGAATAATACAAGGTTGATGATCAAGCATGTGTAGTCCTTAGGCTTATTTATCTCATTGTGATTCTTTATTGGTTAAAGTTATAAGATGAGGCTTAATTAATCCGTGGACACCCTCGAATAATGATCGCCTGCAGAATTTACTCAAAAATAGCATATACATACACACATAACATGCATGTTAAGATACTCGTTTATTTGTTTGAGAACTATCGAACATATAATGTATAAAATATAAATGTGTCATCGTCGAATTTAACTAACTAACTAACTAAACTAAACTAAACTAACTAACTAACTAAACTAAACTAAATAAATACCACATCTGTTTGGACAGATCAGATTACAGTGCATCTATCCCGGCAGCCCTGGAAATTTAGACATCATTCTTTTTTCTCGTTTTCGTTTTGTTTGTGCCTTGCATACATGGCTACCACATCTTCCAGGCCGCCGTTTTGAGAACCCCAGAAGTCATTATTGTCCTCTTCAAAACCACCAAAAGCTCCACTGTTAATACCATAACAATTGTCAACTGTCTGCAGGCTTTCAAATCCATAGCTCCCGGCATCCCAGCTGTAGAATGCGGCGGCGGCGGCAGCTTCGTCCATGGGGTTTTCTTGATGTGGAAATGGCGGCAGCTCCGCAACTTGCGGTGCCATGTGGGATTGTATTGGTTCCAAGATCGGGTAATCTTGAGCTTCGGGTGGTGGCAGTGGCAGTGGTTCTGGTTCCGGGATCATCATGTAGGTATTATAACCGTGGTGTGCGGCGGCGGTGGCTTCCGGCATGGGGTTTTGGTGATATGGATATTGCGGCGGCGGCGGCGCCGCTACTTGCTCAGCCGTGGGGGTGTTTTCTGGCTCCAAGATCGGATTATCTTGTTCTTCAGGTGGTAGCTGCTCTGAACCGTCCAGAATAATCTGTTGGCTATCATCTTGAGATGGAGAAGAAGGGCCAGCAGTTTTCTTGGAACCGGTGGTCTTTTCATAGATCTTGGCTAAAACGCACTCATCTAGCTGCAAATATGATCATCATCCATAAATTTTAATCTAGATTACTCATAGCTCACAGATCAAATCAGGTTAATAAGTCTAAATTATTCATAACTGACAGACTCAAATCAGGTCAATAAGTCTAGATTACTCATAACTGACAGAATCAAATCAGGTCAGAATTGGTCAGTAATCCTAAATGATAGACCAATTTGACTGGGATTTCTAAAAAAGCATATGATTATTGAAACAAGCTAATAAAGAGAATAGATTTAACTTACAATATTATTATTATTGTTGTTGGCACCCTTGGCTGGGGTGATATTCGGATTGATTGTATATTCATGCATGATCCAGTTTGTTTTACGGAGAGATAATGTATCTTTATGCCTTCCTTCATAATAAACCAATGTCTTCTTGGACCCGACCACCTGGCCATTGCATGAGATAGGCATATCCCTACCGGTGGCTTTCCAATACCCATCGCCGGCTTTCCGGTCCGGCCTTGCTCCGTTCGGATACTTCTTAATCCTCGTGGTGAAGAAATACCTTTCCTTCTCCCTCGCCACATCATCCGGCCCTATATCATATACATCAAAATTATTCCATTGATTAGTCATTTAATTTTAAAGTTTTTTTTGGTGTACTAGGGTTTCCACCGTCCGACATTCAGTGATTAATCCTCTTACTGAATTGTAGGCAGGTGGAACAATTGGTCTGAACATTTAAGATTAATTTATACCCTAAAGTTAAGGATTAAACCCTGATGGATAGGTCCTTGCCACTTAACTACACTCTAGGTTTTAACTTTACAATTTTACATATTCATGTATACATGCATAAGAATTACTAGACATTGACTTACTGCAAATATCATTGGGATGGTATAGGTAAATATTGCAGGTTTTAATCCGGTGGAGAGGCATCGCCTCCTTCAAAACCTTCTTCTTCAAGTACTCCACCAGTTCTCCGTCCGTTGGCCGGAACCGGATTCCCGGCGGGAGTGATTTGAAGTATTGATCGCTAAACGCCTTCAAATCCGTTACCTCCATGCTTGCCTTCTCCTTTTCCATAGAATTTCTGACCTACAATTCAACTCAGGAATTAGTCACTATATCGATATAGGATTACAGAAAATAGATTAATTAAGAGAGAAATCTTGTAATGAAACCCCTGGAAAAGTTACAGTATGATCCGATGCTTAAACTCGTTGAGCACAGTCCAATCTATAAATGTATTGCAAAATTAAGAATGATTTCTTTTAGATTTCGCTGAGTGATGCCGTAAACCACGCACCATCAGTCCATCACCATATATACAGATAGTAATAATAGTAATCCAAATTTTAGTCGGGTTAAAACACTATATTAATCTCAGTCCCTAACTACATAGGCTTACTGTTATTCCAATCCTACTTAAAAACAGATAGTGAAAGAAAAGGACAAAAAGAAAAAAATTCGGGCAATCACTCTGAAATACTTGCTACTTGCTAGTGTGCATAACTTGCACTAGTGTTGCTTTTTTCTTGAAAAAAACTCACAAAAATACTTATTATTTTTTAAAGCAATCACGACAATGGAGGATTTTGTTTGGAATTTTTCACACATTTTGATGAGGTAGAAGAAAAAGCAATTATTATTGTGTGGATCATATTATCAAATTAAATAATGTAAATTTAGTATATAAATAATGTATTTTAATATATTAAAATGTATATCAAATAATGTAAATTCAGTATATAAATAATGTATTTTAATATATTAAAATGTATATCAAATAATGTAAATTCAGTATATAAATAATGTATTTTTAATATATTAAAATGTACATTGTATTCTGAGAAAGTACATTATTTAAGTATTGAAATTAAAGTACATTATTTTGTATATAATGTACATTCAGTACACGAATAATGTACTTTTAGTATATTAAAAATGTAATTTTTGTTATGATCCACACAACATTGTGTTGAACATGATCCACACAATAATTTGCCAAGAAAAAAGAAATAAGAGATCAAAGAAAAAAATTTGTAGAAAAAGGAAATAAGAGATCAAAGAAAAACTTTTGTTGTGATATAGATTTTTGTAGGGGTGTGCAAACTTTGCTGAAAGTTCGGTTACCGACCGAACCGAAGAATTTCGGTTAACCGTTCTTTAACTGAAAAACTTCAGTTCGGTTAATGATTAAATAATTTTTAAAATTTCGGTTAACGGTTAATTCGGTTCGAAACTATTGGTTAACCGAATTAACCGAACGGTTACCCAAAATTTTAAATATATATGGATGTTTGGACTTTATAATTTGTATTTTATGTTTGTGGTGTTGTTATGATATTGTGTTTGTATTTTTTTTTTATTTATGAATTTATTATTATAGGTAGTATTTTAATTTAATTTATTATTTAGGTATTATTTTAAATATTTAAAACTTTAGTTTAAAAATTTCGGTTAACATATCAATTAACCAAAAAAAACTTTGATTCAATTAATTCGGTAGAGAAAATTTCAATTTTGGTCACATGACTATAGGGGCATTGTTAATTTCAACACCTGACTTTCAAAAGTGTCAATTTAGTACCTTGACTATGTAATTTTTGTCAATTTTGGACACTCCGGCTGAATTGACGGTCAAATTTGGCCGGAAAAATTTAATCAAACATTTAGTATATAATCTGAGGGGCAAAATCGTCTTTTGATCCTTTCTAGACTAAATGTTGGATTAAATTTTTTCGGCTAAATTTGACCGTCAATTTGGCCAAAGTGACCAAAATTGACAAAAATTACATAGTCAAGGTATTAAATTGACACTTTTAAAAGTCAAGTGTTAAAATTAACAATGCCCTTATAGTCATATGACCAAAATTGAAATTTTCTCTAATTCGGTAATATAAAGTTTGATTTGATTAACGGTTAAACTTATAAAAGTTTCAGTTAAAACAATTCTGTTAAAATAGTTTGGTTAACCGGATGATTAACCAATTGCACGTACACCCCTAGTTTTTTGTAAAGTCCCCAAAAAGAAAAATAAAGGAGCGTAGTTATTGGTGAGCATTTCGTACACCAATCGCGCCCCTTGGACACAAGTGACCACTCTCCTTTTCTTTGTTTATTTGTTTGTTTTTTTTTTTCGATTTATTTTATTTTTTGACCTAAAAAAAGGTCTAGTTGCTCTTAATAATTCAATTTATTCTCTCATTTAATTAAGTCAAAAGTTCAGGAAAAAAAAATCAGCAAACATCTATTGTGGGGATGCCCTTAATGCATACTTGATTAAGCTTAATATATTTGATTTTGTATCATATCTATATATCCAACCGCTAGCACGTGCATTTGCATGTGCATTAATTGGGTGCTGTCTTTAACTTGAGGTAATGTAATGACAAGTTAAGTTTAAATGAAATGCACTTAATTAGCCTCATGATAAGTTGACTATAATATGCATTGTACGTCCTTGTACTGATGAAGCCATGTGAGTTGAACCCTTCTTATCATATTCTTTTAGAGACACAAGAAGCATCATCACCGTCCATCAAGATTTAATAATGTTCGACATCAATTCAATTTTAAATTAATCAAAATTTAATATAATTATCAATTATATCACTATCCCTTTTCGTGTCTCCAAAAGTTAATTTTATTAGTGTCAAGAAAAATCGCAACATTACTTAAAGGTGTGCACGGGGTAAACTCATTACTACCTACGTAATTAATAATCAGCAAATTAAAGCACACAAGATAATTATATTAACCGCACTAGGAATACTTTGTAAGACATGTTTGACTGAAAGGGCATTGAAAAGAATTAGATTAGCTCAACTACGGACCCTAATTTCTAGGTCAAAATGTCTAATTTTTAATTGGAATAAGAAAAATAAATGAGACAACCTGAACATATCTTGCGGCTAATTTGGTGGCACTATGCATATGGCTTTTCAAAGTTCAAACTATAGTCTTTAAATATGCTATAAACCCTGTCTGTCCATGTCTCTCATCCTTGAACTCCTCATCAGAAATATAATGGCTTCTTTTCTGTCTCTTTCTTTTCTACTAATCTTCTCTTTATGCTGCAGTTTTGCTTTTGCAGCTGCTCCTCCACCTCTTGATGGTAATCTTTTATTGTTGTAGTCTATGTTGCATTGCTCTTTACATCATAGCTAGCTAGGGACATTTTAGACATGCATGCATGCATGAATAAAATCCATCAAATTTACTGCATGTAAATTTTAATTAGTTCATTATATTTTCTTATTTAAAATCCAAGGCCCCCTTACACCCTAACCTAATAGAGCATTTTGGATGATGAAAATCATGGTAACTCAATGGCTCAACAGACATGGCTAAATGTCGGTGCGGACAAGAGATCTGCCCACTTTGAACATAATCCCCATACTGCTGCCGCCGTTGAGGTTCGAAACTTGGTCTTTTTACCGAATACTGCCTACTGAATCGTTAAGCTAAGCCAGTGCGGACTTTCATTGTTTTTCTTGACCAACTTGGCTGGAGTTGCTCAAAATAAAGTGTTTTCTAGTTGTGTTTGGAACATCATCATGTGGTTCAATGTGTTACATACATTACTTTTCTTGAATAAGCATTAATATTGGTGTCATGCATATGATATTGCTAGAAAACTTTGTATAACCACTGAAAAATTATCTTATTCCATTTTTGGCAGGGCTAGTGGCAAATGGGAACTTTGAGGAAGGGCCGAAGAGATCAAACCTAAACAAGACAGTGATCATAGGGAGGAGATCACTACCCAGGTGGGAAATCAGTGGCATAGTAGAGTACGTGAGCGGTGGGCCCCAACCAGGGGGGTTCTACTTCGCCATCCCTCGCGGGGCCCACGCCGTGCGGCTCGGCAATGAGGCCTCCATCTCCCAGTACTTGAAGGTGAAGCCGGGGGCGATATACTCCGTCACCTTTGGCGCAACTAGGACCTGTGCGCAAGATGAAGTCCTCTCCGTTTCAATTCCCGGCGCCGGCGGCCAGAAAAGTGACCTTCCGATTCAGACGCTTTATAGCGCCGACGGCGGCGACACTTATGCATGGACGTTCAGAGCACCTTCTGGACTCGTTAAGCTCACGTTTCATAACCCTGGTGTGCAAGAGGACCCCACTTGTGGACCCCTCATTGATGCTGTTGCCATCAAGGAAATGCTCCCCCTCAAGTACACAAAAGGTGGGTAACTCAAGTTTCTTATGTGGAGATTGGAAATGGTAATTTTACCTTTCAAGAAAGTTACTTGTTTTTCAGCAATGGACTCCGACTATATTGGTTTTCTAAAATTAGTCATCGACTTTTAATTTGGACACTTTACGTCTCTTGACTTTCAATTTTTTTTTCAATTGAGGTCCTTTTTGTCAGATTACGGTAAATTAGACTTTAAATAAAAGGATAAAGTAATTATTTCATATGTCTAATGTATAATTCTTCGTATTTCTCCCTTGTATGCACGACTTCGGACATCAGATCCACTTAATTGCTTAATTCCTAAATCCACTCGAAGAACAAAATTCCATTAGGGATCAAGCAATTAAGTAAATCTGATGTCCGAAGTCGTGTATACAAAGAAGAAATACGAAGAATTATACATTAGGCAGATGAAATGACTATTTTACCCTTTCATTTAAAGTCCAATTTACCGTAATCTGATGAAAGGACCTCAATTGGAAAGAAATTGAAAGTCAAAGGATGTAAAGTGTCCAAATTAAAAGTCAGGGACTAATTTTGAAAAATCAATATAGTCGGAGGACCATTGCTGGAATTAACTCAAATTTTTAGTCATTAATAACCAGAAATCATGTTAGAAAGACTATGTGACAGTGATTTAAAAGTTATAGTGGAATCAAAATTGAAAATATCAATAATTGATGACCAAATTTGGAAGAGTCACACTTAGCTGGGGTGAAATTGTCCCATAAATCTTAATTTATGAGACGGTTTAAATCTATGATAGTTACTTGTTACTTATAGTAGAAATCATAATATTTATTACAAGTTTTAATATGATATTCAGGGAATTTGGTGAAAAATGGAGGATTTGAAAGTGGACCTCATCTATTCAACAACTTCTCAACCGGAGTCCTCGTACTCCCCAAGGGACAAGACCCATACTCACCCATCCCCGGCTGGATCGTGGAGTCCCTCAAGCCGGTGAAGTACATAGACTCCAAGCATTTCCTGGTGCCCAGAGGCCGCGCCGCCGTGGAACTCGTCGGAGGGAGAGAAACCGCCATTGCCCAGATCATCAGAACACTCCCCAACCGGCGCTACACCCTCACCTTCACCATCGGCGACGCCAGCAACGGCTGCCATGGATCCATGACCGTGCAAGCTTTCGCCGGCCGGGAAACCGTGAGAGCCGCCTTTGTCTCCACCGGAAAGGGATGGTTCAAAACTGTCAGCCTTAACTTCCGAGCAACCTCGACCCGGACGAGGATCACTTTCTACAGCCCATTCTATCACACGAACCTTAACGATTTTGCCCACATTTGTGGCCCTGTCATCGATGATGTTAGAGTGTTCCCTGTTCGTAAATAATGATTGGGTTGCCCAGAAAATGGAGAAAAACACAGAGAATCTGTAGACCCAAAGATTTCCAACTTTCATTTCTCATGTTATTTACTTGCTGCATTACCTGATGTAACAGGGCAATGTTCTCAGTCTATGGAGTTCATGTTTGAGTTTAAATATTACACAAGTTTTTTTAAAAATAGTGATTATTTCCCCTATTTTTTTCAAATTTATTTACAGAATTGGAGAATGAAAAGTGTGAAAAGATGTTTTAAACAAAGTTGGAATAATAAATTAAAATTATTTTTCATAGAGTCTTTAAATCATGGTTTATATCATTTTCAAAATTTTTGTATGTAGGACGAAAATTAACTTTAATGCACAAATAAAAATCAGGAATCAATAAGATTACTATGTAATTCTCACCGTATCAAACGATCTTGGTTGGAGTCATTTAACAAATATTTTTGCCTCTAAAGATTATTGATTTTATTATTTTAAAGTGATATAACTTGACTATTTTACATTTGTTTTTTTTTTAAATTATATTACTCTTATTAATTTGTAGGAGCATATAAGTTTTTATACTTATTATTCAGAGAAAATTTCAATTTTGGTCATAAGACTATAGGGGTCTTGTTAATTTCAGTTCTTGACTTTTAAAAGTGTCAATTTAGTACCTTAACGATGAAATTTTTGTCAATTTTGGTCCCTCCGGTCAAATTGCCGGCCAAATTTCGCCGGAAAATTTTAATTGTTAAAATAATGAGGGTATTCTGGTCATTTCACGTCTCTTTTCTTTTTCCCAGACAAGTCCATCCCTTCCTCTCCCGTTTATAGTGAATGCAATGAACTAAGATGATTCGGAAAGGAGGCTTGATGATATTAAAGATAAGGTGTACATGGAGAAAGAACGTCGGAAACGGGAGAGAAAGGGATAGACTCACTGGAGAAGAAGAAAAGAGGTTTGAAATGACCAAAATACCCTCATTATTTTAACTATTAAAATTTTCCGGCGAAATTTGACCGGCAATTTGGCCGGAATAACCAAAATTGACAAAAATTGCATAGTTAAAGGTACTAAGACACTTTTGAAAGTCAGGGGCTGAAATTAACAAGACCCTTATAGTCATATGACCAAAATTGAAATTTCCTCTTATTATTCGTTACAATTCTAAATCTAACCAAACAATATGAATTAGTATTCTCACTTTCTCAGTAATTCTATTTCTATCAACCAAACAATGAAATTATATTTCTAGTAATTGTTTTTCCATGGATTTTCAATTCCACTTCCCTTAAAATATTTTCCGTTTCCGCGAACCAAACAAGCCCTAAAAAAAAAAAAAAAAAAAAAAAAATTGTCTCATTGGTGGCGCCAAAATGAACTTAAGCTGGAGGATTGAATGAGGCGCGCCTCTTCCTTCTCTGGCAAGTGGCAATATCTACAATGAGACAACGTGCTCTGCATCTCCGATCACTATTCAACTCAACACCGCATCATCGTCTTCACCATCATCCTTCACGCTTCACCCATTTGCAGACGACTCTAAGCTCCCCTTCGCATTTTTCTTCTTTATCGAATCAGCAGACTCTATACCCTCAAAAGGCTTTCTTTAAATCAGATAACAAAGATTCGCTCATCACCCGCTTGTGCAGGGAGAAGAAATTCAAGGAAGCCTTTGATATACTCTGCCAGCAACGGCGTTTAAAAGATGCCATTCGACTACTTGAAAACGAAATCGGCTACCCTTTTGCTGCCATATACTCGGCACTTTTCCAGCTCTGCATTGAGCAGCGAGCGCTTGAGGAGGGGAGGAAAGTGCACGCCCACTTAAAAAGATCTAATTTTACGCCCGGGGTTTTCATCTCCAATCGAATTATTGAGTTTTACTGCAAATGTGATAGACCCTTGGAAGCCCGTCAAGTGTTTGATGAAATGGGTGAGAGGGACTTGTGTTCTTGGAATATTTTGATTTCTGGTTATGCGAAAGCTGGGTTGATTGAGGATGCAAGGAAATTGTTTGATGAAATGCCCGAGAGAGATAACTTCTCTTGGACGGCCATGATTTCAGGTTATGTTAGGCATGCCAAGCCTAAAGATGCACTGAACTTGTACGGAGTGATGCAGAGATATGAGGGCTGTAAGTCTAATAAATTTACAGTTTCTAGTGCTCTGGCGGCTTCAGCTTCAATTCAGTCTTTATGGTTGGGGAAGGAGATCCATTGCCATATTATGAGGACGGGGTTGGATACAGATGCTGCTGTTTGGAGTGCATTGTCTGACATGTATGGAAAATGTGGGAGCGTTGATGAAGCAAGGCACATTTTTGATAGGACATTGGATAAAGACGTGGTTTCTTGGACAGCAATGATTGATAGGTACTTTGAGGATGGGAGATGGGAGGAGGGCTTTTCGTTGTTCTCAAATTTGTTGGACTCGGGCGTTATGCCAAATGAGTTTACATTTGCTGGGCTTTTGAATGCCTGTGCATGTCAAACGACCGAGTGTCTGGGTAAACAAATTCATGGTTACATGGTGCGGTATGGGTATGATATTCTTGCTTTTGCTACAAGTGCCCTTGTTCATATGTATGCCAAATGTGGAAATATTGAAAGTGCTTATAATGTTTTTAAGCAGCTTCCAAGACCTGATTTAGTTTCTTGGACTTCACTTATCAATGGTTTTGCCCAAAATGGTCAACCCCTCGAGGCGCTTGTGTATTTTGAGCGGCTGCTAGAATCTGGTATTCGGCCTGATCACATTACCTTTATTGGGGTTCTTTCTGCATGCACCCATGCCGGGCTAGTTGATAAGGGGCTTGAGTATTTCCACTCGATAAAGGAAAAACATGGATTAACACATACTCAAGATCATTATGCTTGTGTGGTTGATCTATTGAGTCGTTCAGGAAGATTTAAAGAGGTCGAAGACCTTTTAAATCAAATGCCAATGAAGCCCGATAAGTTCCTATGGTCTTCGTTACTTGGTGGCTGCAGAATTCATGGAAACCTTGAAGTTGCAAGGCGAGCAGCTGAAGCACTGTTTGAAATAGAGCCTGATAATGCAGCTACTTATGTCACCCTTGCAAACATGTATGCGAACTCTGGTAAATGGGATGAAGTGGCGAAGATTAGAAAAGCCATGGATGATAGAGGAGTGGTAAAGAAACCGGGTAAGAGCTGGATTCACGCCCAGAGGAAAGTCCACGTTTTCTTAGTTGGTGATGATTCACATCCAAGATCTAAAGAAATATACGAGTTCTTGGCTGAACTTTCAAAGAAAATGAAAGAAGATGGCTATATCCCGGACACGGATATGGTGCTACACGATGTTGAAGAAGAGCAGAAAGAGCAGAACCTATCCTATCACAGCGAAAAGCTTGCGGTTGCATTTGGCGTTATTTCTACTCCACCCGGAACACCAATTAAGGTCTTCAAGAATCTAAGGATTTGCGTTGACTGCCATACCGCCATGAAATATATCTCAAAGATTGTGCAGAGAAGAATAATCATCCGGGATTCAAGCCGCTTCCACTGTTTTCAGGACGGAGCCTGTTCATGCAGCGAGTACTGGTGATTTTGGCTTCCCATATAGCCGATTTCTTCACCAGCCGCCTCATTGGCATCACCACAAGGGGAAAATGATTACCACATTCATACCACTTAGACAACTCTCTTAATTGGTAGGGAAGTTATAATGGTGTGGTTGTATCTCCATCTGCAAAATATTATGCCAGGGTGCAGACCTGTGAAGTGGAAGATCCATGGCTTAATGGGTTTTATAGCTTTCATTGTGGACTCATCTGGGAAAGGGTAGTCTGCAATACTGTATACCACCATTTTTGGTTTGTTCAACTTTTATTTCTTGTATTTATTAGAGAATGTAAGCACATTTTGCTTCATATTGATTTCATAATCTTATTAACAGAAGGGAGACTTGCGGCCTTGAGGGATGCAAGTATACAAGCACTATAATTGCATAAGATTATAAGAACCCATGTTTTTTTAATTTTTTCAGAAACACAGCTTCACAGTGTTTTGGAAAGATTTTAATGAGTTTTTATGTGAAAATGCGTTTAAAAAATGAAAATGCTTCTCCCTTAGAGTTCTTGTGTGTCCTACTTATCATTTCACATTTAGTTATTGATAAGGTATATATCCAATTCATATACTGTGGGCCAATGTATAAGGTAGAACTTATTCTAAAAGGATGATGCACTGTACACTACAATTATGATGCACATAGTAATATTTATATGCAATAAACTTTGTTTTCTTGAACAAATAAAATGAAAATTATTAACTTACTACAAAATGAATGAAATATATATGATGTACATGCAATTTAATGTTTATATACATTACAATTTAGATTTATGGTCATATAAAATAAATATCATTAACATAATATAGATGAATATTATATTACAAATAAATATGTATTAAAATATTTTAGTGTAGTAAAAATAATTTTGTAATATACTAAAGATGAACAAAAATATAAGTAATTTAGTTGTTTTCAAAAGGTAGAATTCTCAATTCCAAGGGTCTTCTACACTCCACCGACATAGCATATAAGAGGATGTAAATCATGGTAACCACTACATAAGTTAGACATTTGTTTGCTGCGCACAGTGGTTGTTCCTACACTGTCACTGATGATACTGGATCCCGATTGGATCGTTGTTTCCTTGTAACCAATTGAGATAGTTGATTTTTAAGTGGTAGATTGTAAATAAAAATACATGATTTAAGTTTCTTGTAGCTTTTAAACACGGAGTCTCATTTAATAAATAACTAAGTTATCATGATTTATTCCTTCCTATTATATTGGGTTATAATGTTGGAGACTAGGAAATTTCATCTTTTGTGAACCAAACAGGGTAGAATTGTTACACAAGAATCAGCAAAGAATCTTCCTCATCCATGCGCGCGTACCTTCCTCTAAAATTTACAGACTCACACAATAATCCCAATCCTCAAGTCAATACCAAGAAAGAAAGAACCACAGTCCTCTATTCATCCTCTTCCTCATTTCTCTCTCTATAGATACATATAGAATTACAGAATACACACATATAAAGTATCCAATTAGGCGTTGACGGCAGTGGAGGAAGAGAATGGCGGTTGGAAAGAGGGAAGATGTGGTTGAGATAACGAAGCCTCGAACGGACAAACGGGAGTACAGAAGAATCGTGCTTCCGAATTCTCTGGAGGTCCTTCTCATCAGCGATCCTGAAACTGATAAGGTTTCAATTTCGGAAATAATTACGTTTTAATTGTATTTTAGGGGAACCCATTTCGTTGAATTTTAATGCTCTAGACTTCGATTGAAACGTAATCAATGCTTTAACCTGCGTTTTGTGCAGTGTGCTGCTTCCATGGATGTTGGGGTTGGTGCCTTTAGCGATCCAAAGGGTCTTGAAGGCCTTGCCCATTTCCTAGGTATATAATGCCCATACTTTGACCATGATTTTTGTCTTCATATGTTGTCATTTGCTGCAGTGTGGGGACTAGGGAGGTTGTTTCTATAATTCTATGGCTGCTTCACTAAATCACTGTTTTTAACTACTATGGGATGCAGTTATGGCTGAGCTAGTGATTTAATCTGAAAGCTATAGATAACTGCAGCTTCATGCTGTAAACATTTTTTATTTTCCTTGGGCAACATCACTTGTACCTACCTATTGGGAAAAGGGGGGAAAAATAAAAAGAAAACAGAAAAGCTTTGGGGGAGAAGAAATTTGCTGTTAAAAGATTAATAGGCGATAGGCTGAAGTCAGAATGAAGTAATTCTTTGTTGCATTGCTTACTATTCATTTTCCTTGCCAATGAAATTTCACCTTTAAGCCCATTGTACTTACATCATATAAATAGTATACATCACCTTTATTGACGCACTTGAATAATATAGACATTTAACAGGTGTTCTTAGTAGTTTCTCCGTAAAAATTTGTTAGAGGTTCAAGGCACACTAAAACATGATGTCTCTATAGCACGAATGTGTATAAATTTTGTAGTGTCCAAGAAATGAGGATTTATTTATTTTTTCCGAATTCTTTCATCTAATTAAATTTAACATACCCAGAAGATATACATTCCAACTCTCATACATAAATACAGCAAACTACAGTCAGAAATTAGCAAATATTTAAATATTATGGTTCAAGTTTAAAGGAAAAAATTTCTATCTTTTAACATGGACAAGTAAATATTTAGAGTGTGTTTGGCAACAAACTTTTGGTAGCTTTGGCTTTTAGAGTAGTTGAAGCTTCTCATAGGCTAAATTTGAGAATTTATAAGCTAGTTTCCAATAATTTATTTTGGTTTTACTCTTACCCTTTTATAGAAATGGAAACTCTTTTTTTTTTTTTTTTTTCTTCCTTTATTACCACCGCATACACACTCTTTCTCTCATATAAAATAAATATAAATTGTATAATTTATCTTATTACAAAAACAAAAACATACCCTTTAAAGTCATTTTACATGAAAAAGTTAGTTCATTACCTAACGCCTCCAATACAGTCTGCTAGATTTCAGTTATCATTTATCAACGTCCAGCTAGCTTCTAATAACTACCAATAGCTACTGCTAGCTTATCAACTACAGCTAGTTTATCAGGTAGTTGAGCAAATAGAGCCTTAAGAGAATGAAGAGGAGAAATTGGAACGTTGGAAATTTGAAGAATGAAAAAGAAGAGAAATTGAAATTTGGAAAATAGAAAAGAATGTAAAATATGCTCAGAAGGTGAACAAAGTAGAGGCAGAGGAAGCAAAGAATAAAATCAGAGGAGAGGTGGGGCCCTAAAGGGTTACTGGGAGGTGTTGATGTCATCTAGGAGGTTTAAGAAGATGTAGAGGATACATACAAAAAATGAAGGAAAAGAGAGAGAGGGTGGGTGGCTTTGATGTTTTCAAGGAATCAGGGCAAGACTTAGTTATCCCCTATGTGTGCTAATTAGCTAAATGAGTGGAGGGTTTAGTGGCACTCTGGCATGGGCTGCCTTCTGTTGTTGTAGTGGTTGTTAGCCAGATGTAACATTCTTGATTTGTGTTTGCTTCTGTAGAGCATATGCTGTTTTATGCAAGTGAGAAGTATCCCAAGGAAGATAGTTACTCAAAGTATATCACAGAGGTACTTGCATTCCATTCTTTAAATTTTTTTTTTATCTGCTTTCGCATCTCTGTTCTTCATTCCTTTGGCTACCAGCATGCTCCATAAAAAGCTTTAATTTTCTAGTTTTTCTTTCCTATCCTGATGTTGCTTTCTGGTTCTGTCAATGTTTTTTTCTTTATTTCACTTCAATGTTTTTCTAAAATTATGTAGTCCAAAATTTAAAAATAAAGTATTTAAAACTTCCTTATATATACTTCTGTTATTGTTTAGCATGGAGGCAGTACAAATGCTTTTACTTCTTCTGAGCACACAAACTACTTCTTTGATGTTAACACTGATTGTTTTGAAGAAGCCTTGGACAGGTATAACTCTTATGCTTTTCACGAACTACTTATTTTATGTTATGTTTCCTTTAGCATCCCTCCCAGTTCTACATTTTTTCCTCTTGAAGTTTCTTTTGGGGTTTTTCATGAAGTTTATTCTTCAGGTTTGCACAGTTCTTCATCAAGCCACTGATGTCACCGGATGCTACTATGAGAGAAATTAAAGCTGTTGATTCTGGTTAAGTGGTGTTGTTTTCCACCTAGATGATCTTTTCTTTCTATTTACAGATAATTAACTGTTGATTGTCCATACTGCAGAACACCGAAAGAATCTACTCTCTGATGGTTGGAGAATGAACCAGGTTTTTTTTTTTATTTTTATTTTTTTTTCAAATTTGAAATGACCTATTGGTTATTCTGGCGAAGAAATCTTAATTTGATGCTTCTTTGGAAAAAAATCTTTGCAGCTTCACAAACATCTTAGTGCAGAAGATCATCCGTACCATAAGTTCAGCACAGGTTCCCAATGCTATTTGTGATATTTACATACACATATTGGATTTGTTTTACCATTTTGAAGCTCCTGCATAAAATTTTGGTGTAAATGTGAAATGAAGTCTGTTAAGTTATCTCCTACCTTGTATAGTTGAATGCAGTTGTCTTCCATATGCTTTTTGTTTTCTCTATTCTATTTCCATATGCATCTGATTGATGAAACCTCACTTTGGAAATGATATTAGCTTTGCACTTTAGTAGTTTGTGCCTGGATTTGTAGGTGAAACTCCCAGCAATTGGTTAAGAACTTTTCTGTTTGCATCTCACTTTTGAAACTGGTGATCTTATGGAAATCAAAATGAGTGCTTGTTTGCAAAAACCCTGCTAGATAATAAGTTTGGGTTAAACTAGCTTCTTTTTTAGGACACATTCCTTCCTCAAATAGATGTGTATGTATAGAGGTAATTAGAAATGCAATCTTAATAAATGTTTACTTAGACAGCCCTTAAAAAATAAAGGTAGGCTAATTAATAGGACTAGAGGAGTATATTTATTGAGTGATATGAATATTTAATTGCTTTGGTAGTCACTATATGTATGTATGTCGCTTGTGCTATCTGGCAATGTTAATTTCTTCCATCTTCTTATCATGCACAGGAAGTTGGGATACATTGGAGGTCAGGCCAAAAGCAAAAGGACTAGATACAAGACAGGAACTTCTCAAATTTTATGACGAAAATTATTCGGCGAACCTCATGCATTTAGTCATATATTCAAAGGGTATGTGTAATTATTTGCTCATACAGTATTTGCTATATTGCATTACCAAATATTTTGAACTCTTTCTTTAATGTGTATATTTCAGATAGCCTTGATAAATCTGAGAGCTCGGTGCAGAGCAAATTCCAAGAAATCCGAAATATTGATCGAAGTCGTACACAATTTTCTGGTCAGCCTTGCACACCAGAACATCTGCAGGTATGATGTGTAACT